AGGAAGGTGTTGGGGGTATGACTCTGGATTGGTTGGTTGGCATGTGAAACGCATGCCTTAGGGCAAGTTGTTTACCAGCTCTAGGATTGGCCATCCCTGGGCAGGGCAGTCAATCAGTTTAGCAAGGCTCCAGAGGTCAAACCTTCAGAATACAGAAAATACAAGACACGAATCATTCAATAAAGAAAACAAATCCACTCTGACCACATGGCTGCTGCGTTGCCAGCTGCTGAAGATCCAAATCAGGTTTCTGAACCCCACTGTGCCCATCCCACAGTCACAAGAAATGAGTGTGTACCTCTGAAATGCCATCCCTCAAAGGCTCTACTGACCTCCGGTATAATTCAGGATTCAATGTACATGTCCCTTCCTCCAGGAAGCCCTCCTGCACTACTCTCCTGGTCTCAGTGACCTGCTGGCCACAGCCCCATGCTCGCTCTGTCCTGGCCTTGACCCCAATGGGTCATCATCAACTGTTTACATTTCCACTCCTCCCACAGCCTTGGCTGCAGATTAGATCCACCTGGGAACAGTAAAAGATCCCACTACTCAGCACTCTGAATCAAATGAGAACTTCTGGAGGTGGAGCCTTGGGACCCAGGTGATGTGCCACCAGGACAGAGAACAGCCACCCCAGACCATGAGGTCCTCGGCCACAGGGACTCTGCCTCCTGTGGTCACTGGGCACAATGCCTGGCCATGGCAGGTTTGCAACAAGCAAACCACTTCCCAAATACAGAAGAGGACGAGGACTACATTCTTCATTGTCATCATCAATGATCTTTGAACCAGGGCCCTCAGTGGCACTTAAGGGCAAAATACAGCCTCTTTCCTTCTGTCTCTCACTCTTCTCTCCTTGCCCACCTTTGGGGAAGTCCAGCTCCTGTGTGGAAAGCACCAGCCCACCTGCCTGTGTATGTGGCTCCATCCATTCCATTTCCACTGGTCTCTTCCATCACCCTCGTGGTAGAAAACTGCATTAATGGCCTCAATTCTTCACCCCTCTCTGGATCACCCCATTGCCATGTGCCTTTGCAGTGTCCTCTCCCTCAGACTCTAGGTTTGGCCAAGTGACTTGCTTTGTCTCCTGCATTGGTGGCAAACACGACATAGGTGGAGGTTTGAGTGGTTGGGCTCTCCTGTTCTTGTTGCTGCTATGGCCATGAGCAGACCATGCAGATGAACTTGCAGGGGATGAGCTCAAGGAGCAGGGCTGAGTCACCTGGCCAGCCAGCCAAGGCCAGAGGGGATCGCCTGACAGCCAGTTGAGCCTCAGACATTGGAGTGGGTTTAGCCAACATCAACAGCACTGCCTATCCAACCTTGGTCTTAGGAGCAAGCCCAGCCAAGATCAGCCCAGCCCAGCCTAGAGTCTCTCAACCCCAAGATACTGTGAGCTAAATGGATGTTTTTTGTTTATGCCATTTAAGCTATGTGGTTATTCATTACTCAGCTTTATTGTACCAACAGAAAATTAATTCAATTGCTTCTCCCTTCCTCTATGTCTTTAAATTCCCCATTGTCTTGATCTCACGATCCTCAGCCTAAAATGAACTCAGCTCTTTTCCCTGCCTTGTTCTGAGGTGCTGTATCTTCTTTCACTCTACTTTACCTCAATGCATGGTCTCTCTCTGCTTTTGCAGCTGGCTCAAAAACTTAAATCTCTGAGCAGAATTAAAATGTCCATTCTAAGACATAAAACCCTGAAAGATCAGAAAGCAAGGAAGACACTAGGGGAGCAGAGAAGCTTGTGAGAGATGCTTGGATTTTGTGTAACTAGCAGATCTTGGACATCATTAACAAAATAGTAATGCATTTGTTTAATTATGTTTATATTTCACTTGAAACACAACTGATCAACTTGTTCTCTGAGAAAGTATTTAATGCAACCAGTGATGGAACTCTTGAAATAGCAATACGCAGTTATTGGTTTGTGAAAGGTTTTGTCATGCAGTTTACAAAAGGTGCAAGTAGATGCCACCACAAATGGGGTGCCCTTAGGACTCATTTAGGAATACGTACTGTACTGCTCGTCTTATGGCTAGGTCATGTTTCATAGTAAAGGTTTTGAAGGCATAAGATTAATTGTAAATGTTAAAATCCTACAAAATAAACTGCTGTTGTATTCCTCAAACAGCCATTTCCCTCTTGTTTCTGCAGTTCTGCCCCACTGTCTCTACCACCTGTCCATCCAGGAACCTTCCTCTGTTTGGCCTTGTCATGCCTTTAGGATTCCACTGTCATGGGGCTGCCTCTAAGACAACCCCTGCAGACACCTTTCCCTCAACCCTCTGCCCCTGACCTCTTCTGAGCTTCCCCACAATCTCCCCAACACCATGCAACCCACCAGCGTTGGGCCCTATTTGCCTTGTTCATCATTCTGTTATCCAGAACCTGGCACACAGCAGGTGCTCAAGAGTTGTTTACTGAAGGAAAGACAAAGGCAAGAATGTCCAGCTTTAGGCTCTGCTCTAAAAGCCAATCAGCTTCTCCACTTGGAAGAGCAGGTCAAGGAGGGCCATGGGCATAGACTCCCCTCTTTCCCTTCTCTCCCCAGAAAGGAGACTCCTCTTTTTCTGAGTGAAATTCCCTGCTCCTAAATTTATATTTGGTACCACCTGCAAAGCCACTCATTGAGTGTTGGAGGGGGGAAGGGTTATCAGCCAGTCACCTCTTAGTATGAAATATTATATTCAATGCTGAGTCCCACCAGCTAGCAGAGACTTTTTGATGAAATGGGAGGCTGGAGAGAGAGAAGACTGGATGCAGGGGCACTTGGGGAGTGTGTGGGGTGCTGCATAGCCAGAAGGCAGGGCTGGGACACTGTGAAGGCCAAGCAGGGGGTGGCAAAAGATGAGGAGCTCAAGGGGGCAAAATAGGATCCAGAAAGAATGTGGGAAAGGCTGAGGTGGAGGCTGAGAATGGGTGCAGAAAAGAAGGTGGGATGGGATGGATGGAAATCCCAAAGACAGGAAAGAGAAAACCTAGGGGACACCACCTGGGAGCAGCTCACCTGCGTGTATCTTTTGTGCAGCAGCTTCAGGGGAGCTGTGGTCAGGGGCTATGAGTATGGAGCCAGAACTATGAAGCCAGGCAGTCCTGGGTTACCTCCATACTCTCTGTGTCATGTTTTCTCATCAGTGCAATGGCTGGCTTATTGCTATTAATGTTTCTGCTTGAATTTTGCTTCTGCACCGCTTTGCAGGGCCTGGAAGTCTCCCCCTAGCAGTCTCTCTTAATCAACAGGACAGAGCCTTGCTGCCTGGAACCCAGTCTTGCAAACCCCTGCTTTCCAGACAGCCATGCAGAACCAGCCTCTGTGTCTTCTCACCTCTTTACCCTGCTCCTGTGATCTGACCTTGCCTGGACCTAAGCAGAGAAAGGGGACAGGAAGAGGGCGAGTTACCTACCCCTTCCCGAGCACTTGCATACTGTGATGGGTGGCTGACCTTTGAGTCTCACCTGAGACGAGACTTTCACCTCCCTGCAAGGTGGGTCGATTACTTCCACGTCACTGCTGGGAAGGCTGAGACACAGAGGCACAGCCACTGGCCCAAGGACACTCAGCTGGCTGGGGGCTCAGCTGAGCGCCACATCTGAAGATCCTGACTTTTAGATACAAACTGGAGACGTTGCTTTTGCTTCCTTTCCAGCCTTGATTTGGATCCTCAGCTCTGTCCATGCCCCAGGCATCTTGGGGCCACTGCTGACCTTCCATTCAGGAGCACAGTGAGTTCAATCCTACTGCCCCCAAAGCACTTAGTCTGGTTCCAGCATCTGATGCAGAGATGCAAATGGTCCCATCCACCACTCCTGTACATAGGGATGCACACTATGAGGTGAGGATGCCCCAAGCTATGCTGATGGCACCTGGAAGGTTCGAGAGGAGCTTTGAGATAGAACCATGACCTCAGTCTGCAGGGGTGGGAAAGGAGGGCGGGAGAGCTATGTAGAAAACGTCCCTTCATTCATCCCTGAAGGACTCAGCAGGGATGATAATCCCTACTTTAGAAGAATCCCCACCTGCTCCCTCCAGCCAACCCCATGTTAGGCCCTGAGAGATGGGCCCCTGAAGCAATGCCAGTGAATTTAGTTTTCAAGGCTATAAGGCTCCTATTGGCATTAGCTGCAAGTGTATTGTCAAGTCCACTGAGCATTCTTGGTCTGAGCCCTAGGCTCATGGTTCTTAAACTTTGTTGGGCATCCCATCCCCAGAATTCTGATCCAGAACACAGGAGCCCAGGCTTGCTGAAGCAGGACCAGGCCTGACCTCTGATTTTTACCAGGTCCCCCCAGGTAATTCTGGTAAGGCTAGAGTTAGAGAGCCATTGACTTGGTGCCTTGCTACTCAAAGTGTGGTCCACGGACCAGTAGCATCAGCCACCTGGGAGCTTTGCAGACTCTGGAGTTTGCAGAGTCTAGTCCCATCTCAGACTTACTAAGTCAGTTTGAGAAGATGTCTAGAAGATCTGTGTGCACATAAAGGAAATTTTGAGAAGCCTAACATAGCCGATAGATGAGTAAATGCTTAGTGGATTATCAAGTATTAGCTCTGCTTGCTAGAATTGAGTGTGCACTCTCATTTCATCCCCATGAACACCCTGCAAGGGAGGGGCCTTTTCCCCATTTTACAGAAAATTACATTGAGGCTCAGAGAGGTGGGTGACTTCTGAAGCCACACGTTCATAGGTGAGGGAGCTGGGGTTGCAACACCGGGACCCCATGCTCATCCTCACGGCGGCTCTGTCGTCCTCACACAGGGATATGAACAGCAATGACATCTGATGTGAACACTTTAAATAACTTTGATTCAACTTACCACGGCAGTACATGGACCAGAAATTTACACAGATGTTCATCCACCAGGATTGAAACAAGAGAAGGTTTCTAGCCAATACCAATGTCCAACTCAGCAAGAGCCAACCCCCACCCCCGCACCATTTCCCAGCGCCTCAAACTTTCCACTGAGAGTCCCTGTAAAGGATTCATAGCAGGCTTACCGTGTTCATCCAGCAGGATGTTATCTGGCTTGATGTCTCTGTAAAAGAAAACAAAGAAGCTGGCAATGTGGTTCCTGAGCCCACAGATGAGTACATCCACAAGCGCCACATCAGGACAAATGCTGGCAACACCCAGGCTGCTCACCTCTCCCTGACCTGAGGCCTCAGACAGGGAGCGTGACAGTAATTGGTAAGATAATGGGATACCTGTGTTCTTATTGCCTCTTATCTTTCCTGGAAGTGCAAGTAGATTGTTTGAATATTTTTTTCCTGAATATTCTTAAGTTTTAGCCTCTCAGCTCCAGCTATAATGGTAACAGCAGTGATTGCTCACTGAGCATGTGATCAGTGCCAGCAAGGGGAGGCACCTGCCCACCCTGAGGTAGCTGAGCCATCCCACCAGGGCTCCCTGCAGGTGTCATGGCATCCATTTGAGCTCAATGAGGGTTTGGAAGTTGTCGTGGTCAGAGATGGGCAAACTACGGCTCTTGGCCAAATCCAGCCCTGGGCCAGTTTTTGTATGGCCTGGGAGCTAAGAATCACTTTAACATCTTTAAAGCAGTGTAAAAACAAAACAACATATACACACACACACACACATGCACACACAGAAGAACATGCAACAGAGATTAACATGGTCGTCAAAGCCTCAAGTGTTGATTATCTGGCCCTTTATGGAGAAAGTTTCCTGACCTCTTTTAAGGGTAACATAGTGACACACATGGGGCAAAATCTGGGCTGAGGAGTTTCTGGAAAGTTCTGCTCTACATCACCATTAGAACAAAAGGCCTCTCAATTCCAAGTGAAACATTTTGAAGGCTGAGGCTTTGCTTTCTTTACGTCTACATGCCTGTACCTAGCACAGTGCCTGACACAGTGGTAGACACATGTGAAACACTACTAAGTATAAGGATGAAGAATGAAAGTGAGAGAAGAACAACTTCAGCCCCAGCTTACTTATTATTGACGTGTACACACTTGGTGAAGCTCTGCATTAAAACCATAGATTTTACAAATGCATAAATTTTCACTCATTTATAACAAATGTCAAATCTACTGAGACTAATGATAGCTTTCTTCAAAATAAAGAGCAACTGCTCCTGAGTTTATCAAATATTAACTCTACCCGAAAACACACTGTGGTAATTGGTAGTAATGCAATGCAATGCCTATGGGTTTGGGGATGAAAGAAGCACTTAACCTATACATTTAAATTTTTATTTTCATTGTGACTTTTCAAGCCCATTAGTACTGAGGAGCACTGAGTATGTGGGCCCCTGCTGCCGAGGTCACAAAGCCTCCACTGTGAACAAAGAGATTACTGCAGAGACACACAAGGAGCCACATGGGAGGGATGAACTTGGTAACTTATAAAACTAAAACAAAAGGCAGAAGGCCTAGAGTCAAGTGCTTGTGAATGAAGTCAGCAAATGCTTGGTCCCTGCCCAGGGTGGCTCCCAGCAGGATTTCTCAACAAAAGATGAGAAAAGAGAAAAGAAAACATATGTCAAGAATGAAAACACAGCAGCAAATGCTCAAGCTTTATCTCTTAAGGTATCACCGGGACTGAGATGATTTAATGTGTGGTGTGGGGACCAGGGAGGATGTGGCTGTGGCCCAGGGAATGTGAGCTACAAAATGCCTACAAGGGCCACAGCCTAAAGATAGAGTTAGAGTCAGGACACAGGTGAGGCGAGGGTGGGATGACAGACCCAAGAAGATGTGATCTGGTGTACTGGGTTGAATGGTGTCCCTCCAAAATTCATGTCCACCCAGAACCTCAGAATGGGACCCTATATGGAAATGGAGTCTTTGCAGAGGCAATTACTTAAGCATCTCGAGATGAATTATCTTGGATTTAGGGAGGACTCTAAAGACTCGTGTCTTTATAGGAGCAAAGTAGGGGGAGGGATTTGGATGCAGACACAGGAGAGAAGAAGGCCATGGGGAGATGAAAGCAGAGACTGGAGTGATGCAGCCATAAACCAGGAATGCCTGGAGTCGCCCAGAGCTGGAACAGGCCAGGAGTGGATTCCCTCCTGAACCTCCAGAATAAGCACAGCCATGACTCCACTTTGATTTTGGACTTCTGGCCAGAATTATGAGAGAATAAATTTGTACTGTTTTAAGCCACCAATTTTGCAGCCATTTGCTGTGGCAGTCCCAGGAAGCTAACACAACTGGCATGGTGGAAGGATAGCTGATAGAGGGGAGGGCAAACCTCAAAGGGCAGCTAGGGCCCCACTAACCACAGCATGGCCTTGGACAAGCCCAGTGCCTGGCCACGCCCCCACATCCACATTGCACCGGCTCACAGTGTCTCATATCCTGAGAACAGAATGGGGCACAGATGTGCCCAGCTTGGTCCCTAGACCCCACAGAGCCAAGGAAAGGGGCTGTTCTGTTTGGGACAGTTCAGTCCATGAGCTGGACAGTCTGGGTTCCAACTCCAGCCTCATTTTTGACTATCTGCATGATCCCTGCCTCTGCCTCAGTTTCCTTTGCCGTGTGGATTAAATACCTGATACATAACACACATTGCTTCTGTGCTGGCTCTTAGCACAGAGTTGAATCTCAAGCATTTACGGGGTGTCCCCTTTGCAGTCATGAAGGACACGTTGTGAACAAGGCAGACCCAGCCAAATGGAGCTTGCATTCTAGGAGGAGAGGCAGGCCAGAAGGCACAGGAATTAACGGCAGGATTGTAAATTGGGACAGGTGAAGAAGGCAAATCAGAGTCTAGAAAAAAGACTAATAGAGGGACCCTAGTTTTGGTAGATGCTCAGGAAGACCTTTAAGAAGAGATTACATTGGGTTGACAACTGAATGGCAAGAAAAGGTGAGCTGTGCACCACCTAATGAGCGAGTTCTCATTTTGCAGATGAGGAAGTAGGAGGATGAGAACATAAATGATCTGTCCTGTGATGTGGTTCTAGCCATGGAAGCTGACAAAGGTGACGGGTGTCACCCTGTTAATTCGGTTATGTCACAGGGCAAAGTTGGTGGGATGGCAGTCCCGGGATTATATTACATTGTATGACTCTGTCTTGGCAGACTGGAGTGAGAGCTCAAGACATGAGCTGCCATGTGGGAGCCAGCCACATGGCGGGGAATGTAGGTGTCCCTGGGAGGAAGACTGACCACTGGCCTATGTGTTGCAAGAGAACGGGACCTCAGTTCTGCAGCCACAAGAGCTGAATCTGCCAACAACCACAAGAGCCTGGGAGAGGACCCCACAGCGTGTTCCAGAACGGAGTGCAGCCTGGGCATGTGTATTGTAGTTTTGTGAGACCCTATGCAGACAATCCAGTTAAGCCCACCTGGACTCCTGGGCCATGAAAACGGAGGGAAAATAAATGTGAGTTATTTTAAGCTGTTAAGTTAGTGGTAATTAGCTGCACAGCAATAGAAAATTAATTCTCTAGCTATATGATCTTGGGCCACTTACTCTGAGCCTCATTTTCCTCATTTGGGAAATGGGAACACAGCAGCAGCCATCTCACTGTTGCTGAGTGTACAATGACATTTGTTCAGTGCTTCACACCGTCCCAGTGCCATGTGGAAGAAGTGCTGAAATAAGTCACAGTGATGGGACTGTCATTGCTCTTTCAAAAGCAGCTGGGGAGAACTCAGAGACAGACTGGCAGATTCTTGAGCCTTTAGCAAATTAGGTCTCTTTCAAAGGAGACTTGCTGGACAGACGCCTGCAAAGCTGCGTGGAGGAGACGGAGAATCTCAATCACTTGAGATTTAATAAGAATAGCATTTTATGGGGAAAGCATCTTAGCAGAGCCTTTAGTTTAGCCGGTTTCAGGACCGTTTCCTCCAGCTCTATTTTTCACATCGATCATATCTCAGCTCCAGCGCGTCATCCTGTTGAAAATGGGTTTGAACGTTCAGAAAGGGCATTAGGAGCATTGCGTGGATGGGAAGGCGGTGACGATGTTTTCTGAGGACAGGCCCATAATTTCAGAGCTGGGCAAAATGACACTTTGATGGAAAGTATGCATGCAGAGCTATAAAACCCGGCGCTGCTCTTGAATTATTCCCCAGCCCTCAAATAAAACAAAGCATAAAATGTCAGCTGGGCTATTTTAAAAAACAGCATAGAAATGGCTCTGATCCAGAGGTACCCATGCCCAGACTGCCAAGCAGGGCCACCAGGATGTTTCTGCATGTGTCTTTTGGCAGGGGGCTTCTCAATATTCTATGCTGGCAATCTTAAGCAGCAGTAAAGAGAAATACAAAAACCTGGAGGGGAAAGCTAAACTAAGTGAAGTAAAAATCTGTGGCTATTTTATCACTAGTGAAGGGAACATGCTATCCATATTCATGCGAGAGGGAAAGGGAGGTAGTAAAGGACAGAGAAGAGAGACTTGAGATCCAGTCCTGAGTCTGCCTCTTGCTGACCATGCAGACAGGAGCACACTGCCCTGGGTGAATGATAGGGTTTGGATCTGTGTCCCCGCCCAAATCTCATGTCAAATTGTAATCCCCAGTGTTGGAGGTGGGGCCTGGTGGGAGGTGACTGGATCATGGGGGTGGTTTCTCCTGAATGGTTTCGCACCATCCCCTTGGTGCTATTGTCATGACAGTGAGTTGTGGCTGTTTAACAGTGTGTAGCACCTCCCCCAATGTCTCTCTTGTTCCTGCTCCTGTCATGTAAGATGTGCCTGCTTCCACTTTGCCTTCTGCCATGATCGTAAGTTTCCTGAGGCCTCCCCAGAATCCAAGCAGATGCTGCCATGCTTCCTGTACTGTCTTCAGAACCATAAGTCAATGAAACCTCTTTTCTTTATAAACAACCCAGTCTCCAGTATTTATAACAATGTGAGAATGGACTAAGACAATGAACATTAGCTTCCTCACCTATAAGTTGGGTAATAATGCCCTCTCTATGGCTACAGTAAGGATTGGATGAGATGGTTCTTACGACAGCAACCAGCACAGGGCCAGGCACATGGAAAGGCACAATTGTTAACAATAACAGAGTGAGGCAAAGACATTTCAGTAGGAGGCTGAGCCAACAGAACAGGCA